TACTCAAGGTGTGGCCTCACCAGCCCAGAGTACAGAGGAAGAATCACTTCTCTCGTCCTGCTGGCCACACTGTTCCTGATACAGACGAGGGTGTCATTGACCTTCTTGGCCACCTGGGCACACTGCTGGCTTAATGACACTAAAGCTTTTACAAAGTCTTGATAACTTAGCTTTTAAGCTTGGAAGACAGCCAAGCCCTAACTCTAGTTTCATTCACACCACACTTTGTTTGGCTGATGCTTCCACTCATTGACCAAAATTAAAAATAAATAAATAAATAAATAAATAAATAAATAAATAAATAAATAAAAACCAAACTGCAAGCAGAGGCACGGTGTGACCCCTATTCCTATTCTGTTTGGACAAAAGCAGAAAAAAAATCCTCATCAGTCCTACAGTTTGCTTATTTTGTAGCAAAAGGAGTAGAGAAAATCTTAGTTTTAGCTTCAAGGTAAGTTTTGGTAGCAGATGCTGAAGGAATCATTTTGCCTACCATAGTGATCTCCAATTACAATGCTTAGTTTTATTTGGGCACTGCCCCTAATACACTGTCAGATTTTGTAATGTTAAAGGTTACCAGTACATTAGATAGAAGGGTTAGAGACAGTATCTTCCATGGTGCAAGATCCATAAACAGCTGTAGCAGTATTTTAGCAGGTGGTATCTGTCACTGTTGGTAGCCTTGACAGTACAAGAACATGATATATGATAGCTCCTGGTAGAAACATGCAGAAACCTCATAACAGTCCTTTGCTTTTAGGGATGGGTAAATTCTTATACCAAGAACATCAGTTATATCTGATGTAACTGACTGTTGAGAAAAAAGGCCAAGTGGTTTAAACAAAGGATGGGGAGACAGAAATTTTTTGCAGAAGACAAATATTCTGGTACCATATGGTACAGAACTCCCTGGTGTCCCTAAACTCAAATTATGGGAAACTGGCAGCCTGATTTTCAACAGGGAAGATTTGAATTTTGGAGCTGCTGTACAACTGTAACACCCATTGCCTTAGTGGGGATCTTGGTATGTGGGTTTCCCAATGACGACGACAAAAATAGATTTTGAAAACAAGGAAGTTCAAATAGAATCATCTGGAGTGGTATTTTCCACTGCAAAAGTTTAAAAACCAGAGTTTACTTTGCATAGAACTGATTTTCTTTTTTTGGTCTCATCCTTTTTCATGGAAATGTAACTTAACGGATCATATCACCTGAATATATTTCTCTTGGTCTCTATATCCCTCCTCCTCCTATAAGTTCCAAGAAAATTAGTCAGCAGAGAGAGAATAAACATCCCAAAGTGCTCAACTATATTATTAGGCCAGAGTCCACATGGACGATGATGATGATGATGATGATGATGATGATGATGATGATGACAATGATGAATGGGTTCACTGCTGGGAAAATCTTTGATTATTGTGTTTTTTGTGATATTTGCTCCTGAGACACCAGAGAATCTAACTTCATTAGCTCCACTGCTTCCCAAACTACATGTTTTTTTCCATCTGTCATGTATTATTTTGAAACCAAACTGAAATCCAATGCCACTTATGTTACAGTAAGATGATTACAGGGAATAAGTGCTTTCATGTAATAAGTGAATTTCATGAATAAGTGAAGAAAATGCCTGGTACTTACAAGCTCTTGAGAATAATGGAGAAAAGCGCAACATGAACTGATTTTTGCAAGATGAAGTCAGACAAATTAGGGGGAAAGGCACAGATTTTTAGCTGAGAGAACAAGTAACCTTAGGAGCAGATAACTAAGGTAAACGGAGATTCTCTGATTTTTTGTGTTTACAGATCAGGACAGTGTTTCTTTTGAAAGATAAACTTTAAACCATAAACAGGTTATTAAGTTCTGTCCATACTGGCACGGTGAAATCTTCTAGTCAGGAAGTTAGACCAGGTGAAAGCACGTTTCTTTCTGGCTCAAACTTCATGAACAAACAAGAGGGGGGCAATGAGGCTTGTAGAGACACTGCCATCAGTGGAAATAACAGAAAGGAAATAACATGATATATAACCCTTTAAATAACTCAGTGCCTCAGCATATGCCTTGTGTAAGGCAGGACTCATCTATGCCTGTAGAACATTTTGCACCTGACAGATACAGTTTAACAAAATTTGCTTTCATGCTCAGAGATGTTTAAATATTTTCTGCTGTCCTCATCTG